CTTACATATGCACAAATGGCAAAGATTCTGATTAGAATCGCTTCAGCCCGCGGCGAAATTCTAAACTTTGGTGAATTTTTATAATTCAAATTCTTATCATAGGTCTATAATATTTTAGTACTCTTATGTTATTTTAGACTAAGAAATTCGTCGTCATTCATTAAAATTGTTTTTTCAACATTTAATTACGAAAAAACAGTTTGGCCGATCTTTACCAAAAAAACAAGATTCCCAGCCAATATATTTCGAATAGTTTTTGAATTTTCATAATCGGTTTAAGTTTGCGGGTTGAAACGAAAACAAAAGAAACGGCTTGACTGATCGTCGCATAAAACTGACGAACGCTAATCCTTATCGAGTTTGGAAATCGGGTCAAAATGATAGTAAAAAATCAATATTAAGTTTAAAGTTTCTTTATAATTTATAAAGAAATTTATAATTATTAACTTCCCGTAGGGTAAGTTATTGTAATGGGCCGAAAATCGGAATTGAAAATTTTTACATTTCTCGACGTTTTGAAGGTTTCTGAACACTTTGGCATACCTCACAAAAAATGGATGTGTGTGTGTGTGTGTGTGTGTGTGTGTGTATGTATGTGTGGATACAAATTTCCAGTCACGTTTTAGGGCGCACGGATCAACCGATTTGAATGGTTCAAAAAACATTCAATTTCTATTGATTGGGAAAAGAGCTGATTAGTTTTTGGCAAAGGCAGGTCCAGCCGTTTCGGAGATACGGAGCAAAAAGTGCAGAATATAGAAATCGAATTTTTGAGCGAACGGAGTATCCGATTTGAATGATCTAAAAAACATTCAATTATTAATGATTGGGAGAAGTGTTTATTACTTTTTGGCAAAGGCAGGCCCAGCCATTTCAAAGATACGGAGCTAAATATGTAAAAAATGGCAGTTTTTGAGAGAACTAAGCGTCCGATTTAAATGATTCAAAGAACTTTCTGCTTGTCCTAACAAAATAATTGATTTTGAAAAAAAAAATTTTGTTCAATTTTTTTTTTTTTTTTTTTTTTTTTTTTTTTTTTTTTTTTTTTTTTTTTTTTAGTATTTTGTATATCGAAAATATTTCAGATTTTATTTTTAATTCTGACTATAGTTCTAATATACTTTACAAATAATTTCAACTTTGCAATTCGGTTTATATAATTCTTATAAATATTAGACAATGTTACAGTATTTATAATGATCTGTTTGAAAACATTCAATATTCCTCGAACATTTCGTTACGGTGCGGGAAGTTTCAGCAATTTGCCTTAAGGCACGATGCCATAATTGCCTCAAGACAGAATTCCACTTACAGCTAGTTTTATAATTATTTGAGTCCAGTCATATTAAATTTGCTGACTCATTAGGCTGTTTTCATAGTTAAAAATTAAAGTGAATATTATTCTGCAGTGTTTTGCTAAAAAAATTAAGACTTAGTAATAAGTTTTTTTTTATAAACTTCATTTACGGACATCAAAACTTACATATACTTGTAATCGGTACAGCCGTTTTGGAGAAAAAAACATCGATAGAAGGTCAAATTTTTACTCACATACATATAAAAATATACACGTACTTTTTTGAATCTTGGCGTTAAAAGATTCGAAATGACTTTAAACTTGGAGAAATATAAAACTAGCAAATAAAATTTACTGGAAAAAACTAACTTCTTTGGAAATGTAATCAAATACTTGGAATAATTGCTTTAAAATTGTCTTTATATTTATTTGAGTGCAGTCATATTCAATTTGCTGATTCCTTAGGCTGTTTTCATAGTTAAAAATTAAAGCGAATATTATTCTGCTGAGTTTTGCTAAAAACATCAAAACCTAGTAATGATTTTTTTCTATAAATTTACGCTCATAAAATCTTACAAATATTTGAAATGGGTACAGACGTTTTAGAGAAAAAAAAAACATCGATAAAAGGTCAAATTTTGGCTCACATACGTATAAAGACAAACATATGATTTTAAGAAGAAGAACGAACGGAACAATTATTAAGACGAAAGTTAAAATAAAAGTGGGAATTATAGAGTTCTAGAGCCTCCCCCCATGAAGTAATGTCAAACGTCGCTTTCCGTGGGGACTAGAGGCAGGCAAGCGAAGGTTTTTTGATATCTCCTAACAAAATAATGAATTTTAATAAAGAATTTGTATATGATAATATATATTTGTTATTGAATAAACTATTATATAATGTATACAAATATCGAAGATATTTGAAAAAAAAGTAGTATCAAGTAAATATTTCGACATAATTAGAAGAAGACGCAATAGCGTTAGTAGAAAAATGAATAAGATGAATTCAGAAGAAGGAACATTTGGTAAAATTACGATAATGTAAAACGAATTAAGTAAGAGTAAATAATGTTTCGAGTTAGAATTTGAAATGTTGAGTTAAAATTAATTAGCGATTGCGTTGTTGATATTATTTGTACGAGTCCAACATACTCAGACAAAAGACCTAGTCTGCTATGCGTTAATGCATTTCCTTTGCTATACAAAAAAATATCGTGAAGATAATTAATACTAGCAAATCGCATAAACAAACTGCTTCGGAAACTTAATAAAAAATCTCAATAATGTTGTTTTAGGAGCAATTATTCTGTCTACCGATCACTCTCTCGCAAATCAAAAATAATCCAGTGCAATCCGAGCATGAAAAAAATTCCAGATTACATCATTACCCATATTTGCCTCACAATTAATGACAGCAATTCTTCTTCAATTAAACTAAAGATATTAATTAATTACTGGCAAAAGCACAAAGTTTCATTTCGATTTGTGATCATGTGAATCAGCTGAGCAGTCATGTGCAAGTTGCAGACGGAAATTCGGGAGACACGACTCAAACGTATTCCGCTTGAATGAACTACTAAGACAAACAGTTTGCAACTGCTGAGAGTTGCTCCAGTTTGATAGATATTGCAAAATCATAGCCATTGTGCTATAGAAATACCTACTAGTGCTGTACCAATTAGTTAAATGCCTTTAGAATTAGTTAGTAAATGATTTTGGAATTTTATCATATGAAATGTCATATGAATCATTTTTCTATTCATATATTTCTTCATCTATTATCTATTTATTCATTCTGGGAAAATTATAAAGGACAGGTTTTTGCATATTTTATTAAATCCAAGTGTTGAGCGAATTGTCCATCACTGTTTTTTATAATGTGTAATTAAAAAATACATATAGTCCCTTTTTATTTTTACTATGGGTTGATCATTTCAAACACTCTATTGAATGTTTTAAATGTGTTTTATTTATTAACTTCCCGAAGAAGTTTATGTTTTCATAAAAAAATCCGATTCGCTAATTTTATGTTTTCTCGACGTTTCAAGCCATTCTCAATCGAATAAGACCAGATTTGGAAAAAGTATGTGTGTGTGTATGTGTGCGTGTGTGTGTGTGAACAGATTTTTTGCCGTAAATCGACGTTTTCTCAAAAACGGCCATTCTCAAAAACCATTCGATGTATCTCAATGAGAACTAGCGTTTATCAATTTTGTGCGACAATCGGCCGAGCCGTTTCTTTGTAAATCGCATATAAGTGAAAAATTTTTCGTTTTTTTTTATTTTGAAAATTCAAAAACTGTTCGAAAGGTATTTATTGGGAATCGGTCTGATTAGTTTTTAGTAAAGATCGGCCGGGCCGTTTTCTTGTACTAAAGTATTAAAAAATTTTTTTTAGACAATTTTTATGATTTTTTTTGACGGTAGATACCATAGTCTTATAGATCATACTAAAATACTACGGCCCTACGACAAGTCGTTTAATTTTAAAAATTCGTCAAAGTTTGCAAAGATTAGTATCGTTTTTTGGCGTTTGTCAAAATTAGACCTTTCATCGGCCTTTGCTCAAAAACGCCTGAACCGATTTCAAAAAATTAAAAGCCATCTGATGTATCTTAATAAAGACTATCGTTTGTCAGTTTTGCGCGACGATCTGCCGAGCCGTTTCTTTGTAATTTGGAAAAAAATGTTGAACTTTTTGTCCACATTTAAGCTCGTACTACCAAATCGATTTTATAAAATCAAAAACTGTTTAAAAGATATTAGTTGGGAATGATACTGATTAGTTTTCGGTTTTAGAAAATCTACCAAGCCGTTTTCTCGTAATTAACTGTTTAAAAAAAAATTAAACCGATTTGTATGGAACTTTTTTTGGCGATATATATCGTGGTCTTATAGAACTTACTAACAATATTAATGTTTTAATGCAAAAACTAAGTAATAATATATCATAATCTTGTAACTTCAAATGTGCCAATTGAATTTAAATATAATCAGATTCAGATTAGGTTTGTTCTTGCAAAAACTATTAATATGGTCCAAGAACATTTATATATTTCTCTGCAGTAAATAAACTTTTCATATACTTTTTGTTAGCTGCCCCTCTTACTTATATACCACATTTGCAATCGGTAAGTTATTCTTACGCTATACATTTTAAACTAGTTTTTTTTATGGCAAATCAACGTTTTCCGGGTCAGCTAGTATATGTATATATATATATATATATATATATATATATTTGTAATGTTAATTTGCAGCCAATTAATATCACGATTTAAAAGTACAATAAATGATGATCTATTTATTTATGAGTTTCGACATGGTATGTGTGCCATCATTCAGTTTTTATTTAATAACAGTATCACACCAGGAAAAACACTCATAAAAATTAACAGACATTATTTGAAAAGTTTTAAAATAAAAAAGTAAAAATTCATTTTAATGATGATTTGATTTGATATTTTAAAGTTAAAATAGAGTTATATAGTGTCGCTACATGGTAACAGCGTATGAATGATTCATATGCTGAATCTTATAAATAAATAGATCATTATTTATTGTTCTTTTAATTCGACGATTGGCTGCAAATTAACATTTCAACGTCGAACAAAAAAATCTAATCTATATATATATATATATATATATATATATATATATATATATATACATACTATATATACATAAACTATTTTCTTACCTTTCCGAAAGCTGTGAGCCCGCCATGCACTGATTTTTCCCCAGGATCGTCAGCGAGCGCGCTATCAGCCCACGGCGTATGACAGGTCGATGTCAGGGTGAGATAACGCACTCCGAGCGCATAGAGTACTCGCAGAACTGCTAATGAGTCGCCGAGCGCGTGACCGCCTTCGACACCCACCAAGGAACATGTTTGACGCTCTTCGTGCGCTTTCCTTATATCTAAATTGTAGAAAAGAATTATGAAATACAAGTATTGTTTGAGTTTTAGGCCAAGAACTCTTGTTTTGAGAACTTTGATGATGTAAAGAATATAGATTAAAAAGTGCGAGTATTGCTTTATTTTTAGCTCTAATTTTTTTAACTTCCCATAGGGCAAGTTATAGCAATCGCAAAAAAATCGAAATCGAAAATTTTTATATATCTTTACGTTTTAGAGGTTTCTGAACATTTTGGCATACCTTAGAAAAAATGGATGTATGTGTGTGTGTGTGTGTGTGTGTGTGTGTGCGTGTATGTATGTATATACATGTATGTATTTTCAGAAAAAAGTAATTTTTTGTCAAATTTATAGTTTCTCAAAAATCTAATTTTTTAGAAGTAAAATTTTTTCAAAAATGTTAATCGTTTTTTAAAAAATAATAATTTTTGGTATGGGAAGTTCCAGCAATTTGCCTTAAGGCACGATGCCATGCGCCCCACTAGTTAGTATATTTAAAGCAACGCTGGTTATATGAAATGTGCAACAGTAGAACACACATGTGTTGTTTGAAGTTGAATCTTGTTTTATTGTTTGGAGATAAAATTTAAGTTTTTGAGAAAACGCATCATCCGATTCGAATAATACAAAGAAACATTTTGCTTGTATTGTCAGTATAAAGAATTTTTTGGGAAAAGCAAAAAAAAAAAACGGATTATCAACAATATTTTTTTTTTCAAATGTCGGATTTTAATTATAATTCTAGCCAGAATTCTAAAACTCATATACTCGAAATAAATAATATTAACTGTGCAATTCAGTATATATATAATTCTTAGAAAAATTAAATAAGATCTTTTAATTCTATCTCTGTTTGTTTTATTACACAGGCCTACAACATTTTTTTTGTTTGGTGCATCAAATGTTAGAGCCGATTCTTATAGTATTTTTTTGTATCAGCCCTAGTCTGGAACTTGGAAAGAAGTTGCCAAAACCAGGTCCATTCTAGGTCGTCACGGAAAAGAACTTTTCACAGTGTCAACTAATGTCCCAAGTAAGGCCGAATGGGTCTTGTAAGTTTGTATGTACGAGTAGGCATATCTCATTAAAATAACATTCTGAATTGTATTACTATTTTGTACTTTCATTCCTTATATTTTATATATATATATCATATCTTGAAAACCAAAGCTCATAGAAAGAAAGCAATGTCATTTTCAAAATCAGCGCCCCAAATATACTTAAAAACAGCATTAAAATCGTTTACATCATTCTCTTTGTTGGGCTGTGTTATTTTACTTTTTATTCATTTATGTCGTCGTACAATGTATAAGCTCTTATATTTTGTCTATAAAATACGAATAATAAACTTCATATTATTTATAATGACTTATTTGGAAACATTTAAATTATTTGACTTTTTTGTTACGGTACGCAAGATTCCAGCAATTTGCCCTAAAACACAATGCCACTTACCACTAGTTTTGCTCTCAACCCTACATAAGTTTTGTCAAACCTCGACCAAGTATAAAATAAAATTACTAAGTAAATACAAGCATTGCTTCATATTTAACACCAAGACATAAGTTTTACCATATGTTTTTTTTTAATTAAATGAAATTATATCATCTATTACAGCATAATTTTTGTTGAAATTTGCAAAAGTCTGGAATTAATTCTAAATTGAAATTATAGTGCATCAAAGAATATTTCTAACTACTTACTGCTTCTGAAAATATAATATTTGAGGGTTCCATGAAGATAATATTTGATAGTTTTATAAAGATATTTTCAGACAATACTACAGATTTAAGTAAATTATAATTGCAAAAATATTAGAACAATTATTATTAAAAAACTTAGCAAAAATTAAATGAGTCATTATTATTAAATGAGGTTCTACCTATTCTCAAACATTCAACAAATCTTATAGAATGATAGAGAAAATAGTATATAATGACATACTATTATTTTACAGGTCTCATAACCATTAGTTCTTACTGCTATTTTCAATTCTTTGTTATTTTATACTTTGTTCTTTCAGTATATTTTTCTACATTATATTTTTCAGTAATTTTTTACACATTTTCAACACTTACATCACTGCAATATTAATAAATTCACATTTGAAAGAAAATTACAATTCTACCTATATTATAATTATATATATATATATATATATATTCATTAATGGATGTATTCTAAATTTAATGTAATGTAACCATTACAAATTGAATATTATTAAGTCTTTATTTGCCCTAACAGCAGATGTTCAAAAACTCTTTCAAATAAATTTTCAAGTATCAGAATCATATATTATGCTTATCTAGTATTCAGAAAATAAATTTCCAAGTGTAAATATCAAAATCATATATTATGCTTATCTAGAATTTAGAAATTATACTTTTTGAATTAACCAGATTTGATTCCAAATCTAAATATTATTGAGCAGTACAAAACATTCCATGCAAAATCCATTTATGAACCCGAGTATAAGCAACATTTATTCATATGTTGGTTATCCCTTGGATTACTCAGAAACCGTACATTTTCCTTAAAATGTATTAGATAACATACAAGAAAATAGCTTAGATAATCTTAACAAGCAAACTTTCATGTAATGAGAAACGTAACAAAGAAATATGAACAAATACTCTACTTTACAAATATGCATCTTGCAAGTTGTATATTACATACAACATTTAGGTTGATTTGCTTATAATTTTTTTTATCATGCTATCGTAATATTTTTAAGAAAATTTGATGAAATATAAACAATTCTCAAAAATGATTTTTTTAATATACTACCGTGGGTTAATAACAACGACTATGTGCAAAACTATTGTTACATATTGCATTGGAGGGTTGAAGAATGGAGTTAAATTGTTATAAAAATAAAGGATTTTTTTAAACCGAAGTAACCACTGGACTTAACCATTTATATTTCGTAAATTTTCGTCAAATTGAATTAAGTTGATATTCTCTTCCCACGTCTTCTAAGACCTTCAAGGTTAGTTGATCAATTTCAATCCATTCTTGAAGAAATATAAATGATTCTTGGTTTTCTTTCAACTAGATCATATGTTTTTAATCTTGCATTTTTTTGTTAAATTTAAGCATTTTGATAAACTCATCAAAACCTTACCGCTTCTTCTTCAAGTTAGTTGATCAGTTTTAATCTATTTGTGAATACGTCTATAACTGATAGATGGTATTACTTTCTACTTGATCATTCATATAATCTTTAATTTTCACCAAATTGAAGCAAATTGGTAAATTGCTCCAAGTTCTCCAACATCTCCAAGTTGGTTGATCAATATTATTATGTACTTCAATACGTTGTACTGGTTATTATACTGATTAATGATAATTGTCAAAATGAACCATATTGATCTTCTCCAAGTTCTCCAACACTTTCGAGTATGATCAATTTTAATCTGATCCTGAAACGTCTGTAACCGATTCATGATACTGCTTTCTACTAGATTGTGTTGATATTCTTCGGCATGTTCTTCAACACGTTTAAGTTCATTGATCGGCTTTGATATATCCTTAAATACGTCTATAACCTATTATTGGCATAGTTTTCTACTAAATTATTCATCAACCTTAATTTTTGCCAAATTGATATTCTCCAACACCTTCGTTGATAAGTTTAAATCTGCTGTTGAATATTTCTATAACTGATTGATATTACTTTAGGGGAAAATCTAGTAGAAAATCATTTATATCATTACTGGTTCTCGCAAAATTGGTGCATATTAATATTCTTTTCAAAGTTCTTCAACACCTTCAAGTAAGTTGATCAGTTTTAATCTAATGTTGAACACGTCTATCGCCGATTCTTGATATTGCTTCAGTAGAAGATCTAGTGGAAGATCATTTATATTATCAATTGAACATTTCCAAGTCCAACTGATCTATATTAATATACTCCTCGAAGTGCTCCAATACCTTCAGGTTGATCAGTTTTAATCTATTCTTGAATATGCCTATTTTTCTGATTCTTTGGTACTGCTCTAGATACAGATCATTTATAATACCGTCAATTTTGGTCAAATTGAACTATATTGATATTCTCCTCCAACACCTTCAAGTTAGTTGATCAGTTTTAACCTGTTCTTGAATGCGTCTATCAGGAAACTGTACAACAATGTTCCAGTAATTATCGTGGCCTCTGTGACATTAGTACGTTAGCAAAGGGCATGCAGGGGAATACGGTTTCGTATACATCCATATTCCCTTGTATCCTCCCTTACTACCATACCACACTTAACCACAGTTATGCGGGTTAATTTTGTGACACAAACAGAACACAATCTGATATTATATCAGCGAGTTTAGTCAGCCGTACGGATATAAATAGTTATTGTTATTGTTGCGATCGAGGCAACGAGGAATGTGCTTGTTCAGCAAAATAAAATTGAATTAAAATCATTATTGTTTTAATAAATTAAACGTGAAATTACAAAGCAGACTATTACATAATTTGCGACCAGGATGTTTTTCACTTTAAAATCGTATAATAGGAAGTCCGTGTTATCGGAGGGATGTCTCAGGTTAGCTCCGCGTAGTATGGAAACCGTATTCCTGGGGTGTCGTGTTAACGCAAGGTTGATTGTATTTATTTTGAATACTAACCTAAATATAATTATATATCATAAACAGAACTTTTTCACAAAAGAATTAGAACTTCCAATAATAATTATTGGGATCCATTCATAAGATAATCGTTCTTCTTTCTAACAATGGTATTATATAAACTAAATTTATAGCCATAGCATAAAAACTGAATTTTACCTTATGCATTCAATATATTTGGTTATTTTAGAGATCTCATTTCTTCTTCTCCATAAATTTTTTAATGTAATTGATGTTATATATATATATATATATATATATATATATATATATATATTTATTACGACAGCTATATTACAATTGTAAAAGCCTTCAATGATTTCTGGTTAATGGAAACAGCAAGCTACTCAATAAAGCTTTTTTCCAATTAACTTTTATCATG